CATCTTGTAGAAATAGAGGTCAGTAGATCCCAGAGGGCATTTGCCCCTGGTACAAGGAGTCTCGCGCTGGACCTGATTTGGTTGATGTTAGCAGCCCTTGGACGAAGCAGAGCGCTCTCTTCGACAAACGCCTCACGTGGACTGCTCTGCGCTCAGACCCAGCATCTGAAGGCCTAGTTGTCAGGAGGGATTTGTCTGTTTGTTTGTTTTACAGAAAGGCATTTTTAGCAGAAGTAGCTAGCTGTGCGTTCACCCCAGGCTTGGAGAACAGAGCAACCTACAGCCGGCACAGCGCCCAGCCCAGCGGCCAGGCACATATGACACTGCGGCCTGCGTTTTGCACGTCATCCATGCAGGCTCAAAGGCTGCTTGTTTTTTCCCTTTGTCTTAAGATACAATTTGGCAGCTCTGTGCGGCTGATCCATCCCCTGGAGCGTGCACTTCACCACCCAGGTGAAGCAGCAGCAGTCCTTACAAAGACCTCGGACGGTCTTTTAGGGCAGCAGTGATTTGATTTCAGATCTTGCTCCAGGACAGTTTCAAAGGCAGCTCAAGGGTCCTGACTACAAAGAGATTTGGCCCAGCATCCTGACAGTGAACTGTCCTCAATGTTGTTCACATTGCTCCTTTCCTAATACGACGACTCAATCCCCCATCGACCTGCAGGATGTCTCTCCAGTGCCCTGCTTCACAAAAACTGGGTGATGAGATTACCAGAGCAGGGGAACGGAGCAGCTCACGAGGCCTCGACCGTTCACTGCAGAGGAGATTTTTGCGCTGCAGGAACTTCATGTGGCTGATTGGGGCGTTCGGATTAAGAGCAGCCTCTTGAGGGGGGGGTTGTATGACCCCATCTGGTAGGAAGCCCATCGTAACTCAGATGAAAAACTGGAAGGAGAAAACACGAATCCCAGAGGAATGCAGCCACGTAATTTTAAATGCCTCTCAGGTAAGTTATTACTTTGCAGGTATCAAGCAATGACAAATGAAAGGCAAAAAGCCTGTATTTTACTAGTTCTAGGGCTGTTCCACAAGCAGAGAAGAACTAGCGCATTAGGTGTTTTCTTTTAACAAATACATATACTGTAGCATTTAAGAATATATTTATTCCAAGCTGTTTATAGAGCTAGAAATCATTTTCACTGAGGAAAAACCTTGTATTTAAACCTGTAAAGGCTTAGGTGAGGCCATGCTTTTCAGGGAACCTGTGAGAGGCGAGGACCGCTTCCCTGCCGCTCGCGTCCCTCTTTGCAGAGGAGAGGGCCTGACACGGATGCAGCTCCATGGCAGCATCAAAACTCGTCTCTGCTCACGCAGTATAGGTTGACAAGGGATGAGCAGCAATGAGGCAAAAATGCATGGGAATCCCTCAAGCACATGTCTAAAAGCGTATTTAAAAGGTTCTGTTGACTAGGACTCCAGGGCTTGTCAAATTTAAGGCTGTCACCCCCACAACCAACTGCAGCAATTCCCTTGAGATGATCAGGCTTAAGGCTCCCACGTGCACTTATAGGGAGATTTAGTAACTGCAGTTATACAACATCAACTTCAGGACTTATTTCCTTGAGATATTTATTTTGACTTAAAAACAAAGTTATTTGGGACGAACAACATATATTTCCCCCATACATTTTACTCATTCTACTTTCAGGAGAGCAATTCTACAGGATACAAACAGTCTTGGATGCTGCTCAGATGCTGCTTAAACCTCACACCCAGCAACTTCTACAATCTTAACTACAGTAAAGCACAGCAGAGTTAAGTTTACATTTATGAAAACGTAGCGAAATTACATGGAGGCTTCCAAGAAGGACACTGATTTTCATTAGGTTGTGTTTAAAAGTTAGACAAAGAAGTAAAAATGTGAATACACAATCAAAGTATATAGTTCTTCACAGTTATCTCAGTGGAGGCAGGAAAGGTGCTTGAAGACAATCAGTTCTAGAGTGGAGCCATTCACTAAATGGAAAATGCCAAAATATCGACAGTTTCAGCACCTAAAGGCTATGCGGGAGGAGAACTATTCTACTAGGATCGTATCAACACTTTCTTGGATAAGATCAGACTCCAACATACAGGAATCTAAGTGCTCTTGAGATAACCCCGAGCTCTTTCCCATGCTCTCGCTGTCGCAGTAAGGACGAAACCTGGGGGTCGTGGGGCTCTCCAGCTGCTGGCAGCGGCTGTATTTGTACTGCTTCCCCTTGTGTGTGTACATGTGCTCTAGCAACTGGCTCTTCCGGAAAAACGCGTGGCCACAGATGGTGCAACTGATTTTTCTCTTTCTGGAGAAAGAAAAGTTACAGTTTAACTCTACCGGCTCGTGGTCTTTGGAGATGAGCGAGAGCTGGCCAATCTGCAGAGGCTCGAGGTCGCTGTGGCTCGGGCGCCCCGCCTGGTGCTCATCACCTCCCAGGAGGAAGGTCCCCAGCGGGTGGCCTCCGCTGGCCTCCCTGTTTTCCGCGAGCAGCTGCACTTCCCCCAGGTCGCTGCTCTCCAGGATGGAGGCCGGCACGCCGAACGGGAGCGAGCCCGAGACGTGAGTGTGCAAGTGTTCCCGCAACCCGCCCCACGAGTCAAAACGCTCCCCGCAGTAGTGACACAAATGCACCTTGGGGCTGGCTTTAGCAAACGTGGGATTCACTACGCCCGGAGAAGGAGGGGTGCAACTCTGGGACACGACGGGCTCCGAGTCGCACTTCTCCTGCTTTATCGAGGCGGAGAGCTTTGGATGCTCTTCGGCGGGCTTGACAGCACCAGCAGGCTGAGCAGAGGGACGAGCAACCTGCTGGTCCAGCGCGCCGTCGTCCAGGCCGATGGCGAGGGAGGGCTCCAGCTGCGGGTGGTCCCCCGGGGCAGCGGGCCTGTTTCCCGCGTTCGCTAGGCTCTCTTTCGCCTCCAGGCGTTTGGTTTTGTGGGCAGTTGAGATCTGGATCCCGTACAAGTTGGAAGACGGCACCGTCTCTGGGGTGAAGGCTTGGTTCATTTCGATCGCGATGTGGGAAAGGTGGTCCGCGTGCAGAAACCGAATGCCCTCCTCCAGCCGGCTTTGGTTGACGGTCTGCTTGGGCCCCTTCCCAGTGTACATGATGTGCAACAGGTAACTGAATATGTCAGGCTGGATGTCTGTGGGCTGAATCTTTATGCATTCACTGAAACAAGACGGATGATTGAGTACATCTGCTGCTCCAAATCACAGTCCTGACCCGTTATCTGCCCGTCCATTTGCTCCGTCCTTTGCTTTTAGAGCACGTGCCCTGCCGGCTGGCTCCAGACGGGCAGCGAACAGCACCGCACCACTCCCACAGCCGCCTAGGCCTCGTGTGCGCAGCAAAGCGCCCGAGCACGTATTTCTCCGCGTGACCGGGACCGTGAGCACAGTCGGGGACGGCGAGAGGGGCCGTTTACCCGTCCTTCGTACGCGCAGCAAACTGTGACCGCGCGCAAGCGCAGCAATGCCGCGCGAGGTACGGATGGGGACAGCGTGTGCCGTTCTAATAAGACAGGCCAAAGAATATTTGTGCGTCCAGGTAATAAATTCAGCAGCTGCTGCTACTGTGTAACCTTCAGGAGCTCTACATTGCAGCGTCAGCAAACAGTATCTATCGGAAAGGAAGTGCATTAATCTTCTCACTTCCAGCCAAAGGGCTACAGGGCTGATAGCTGACGATTATCTCGCAGAGGTGCTGAAGGTCACAGTCCTCACCGTCGCAAACAGCAAGGTGAACGCAGAGGAACTGAATCGATCACGAGCGAGCAGCAAGCGCCATCTCAGAGGCCAGAGCAGAACTCAGCAGCAACTTAATTATTGCTGCGAAACCGCTTTTTACCTGGCCAGGTGAGGTGCCTGATCGGCAGCCTCATCGATGGTGCTAAGCTCAAAATAAACTGATGATCTCAGCCTCAGCCCTTATCTGCAGGAGTTTGCAGCACGGAGCTGTGATAAGGCTATGGTTTCTTGATTGCTCTAAACCCATCGAAGCAGCGCGCCTGCCAAAAGGGACAGTCCCACTCAGCAAGCTGCGCTGGACAACTCATCCAGCTGAATGGCTTTTGCTTCTTCCTTTGCTGGGATAATTTCTGAGCAGTTGGTGTCCCAGCTGTGCTGGCGAGGCAGGGAGGGAACGCACGGGCAGAGCTTGGGCAGGACCCGCTTTGCAGCCTAAAGCGGTGGTGAAAGCACGGCCTGGACGCTCACCCTTGCCGACGGCGGCCAGAGCAACGACAAGCCCCGCACGCGGATGGAGACGGCACCTTGCTGGTCTCTCCAAGAAGGCGCTAAGCCTTTGCGCGGTGGAGGCTGCATGGCAGAACACCAGCCCCTCACCCGCGACACGCTACTTTATGCTGTAACTAAACACAACATCTGGGACCAAGCAGCAAAACTGCTGGCACCTGCGAACTCTGAAGTCGCACAAAGCTTAAAGCAAGAATCACCTAGAAGCCATTGCAAAGTACTGGATACGCCGTGTAAGCGTGAAAGGTGCGTGTGCACCCCTAGATTAAAAACGTGCCGAGACCTTGTTGCACAAGGACGGCGGTACTCACCGGTTTGTTTTCTCTGGTCTTGCAAATATCTCATCTTTAAAACGTGGAGCCTGGGTGGTAGCTTATGCTGATTAACAAGGGTGGTTTTGATGGATTACACGTGACTATACCCTAAACTGGGGGTGTTTAGAGAGCCAGGGCATGCAGTGGCCTGGGGAAATAATCTCAGGCCCTCTAACAATCCCCACTTAGGCTCTTTCAGAGCAAAATGCCTTTAGAAAGGGGGGGGGGGGAAAGCAGGCGGTTGAACGGAGCGGTCAACATGCAGGAAGAGAAGCTGCGTGGTCCCTTACCTTGTCTGGTGGATAAAAATCATCTTAAAGTAGTTGGAAAAAGCAGCTAGCACCGCTCGGTGGGCTTTGAAGTACACATCTCCGATGGCAACCGTGCAGTCGCACAGAAAGCCGAACTCCCGCTGCATGTTCAGCTGCTGCAGGAGGACGAGGCTGTGGCCCGTGGGGTCCATGGCGCGGGCCGCGGCCAGGGCGCCAGGCGCTCGCC